GATTTTCATCATACCCTTTGATCTTTTTGTTTGATAAGCTCTAGCCATAATGCATATTATTAATAATTCTGCTTCTAAAAATTGAAAGTGTTTATAAATACTTGAAAACCTTTTCATTGTCAACGGATTTGTTTTAAAATAGCTTCATCTAAGTAGGGTCAAGAACGTGATCAGCATTGCAGAAAATAAATACACAGTTATAAGTCCATAAAGCGATTTTGTTTGCTTGTCTGAATTGGCTCTATTTGTTCTGTGATTGTCGATAATTTATCGTGTCCCCTTTTGTGCTGTTATTTGCAACATAGAACGGGCTGCCGACGTTGTGCTTGCAGATCTAACTAACCAAGCCAGCCCACCATCGTCTCATCTTGTTGCTGCCTCTGCTACCACCTCGACGTCAACTGGCCCCGTAAATCCAGTCTCTTATCAACATTTCTCCGCTTGCTCCGGTCCTGATGCCCGAGCTAGGTCTAGCCTGCCAGGGACTTCGCAAGATCATCATTATGTCAATCCAGTGGCCCCGTCAACTGGAGGTCCGATCAGGTCGGGCCTAAGAGGCCAGGCAGCAGCCAGTCCCCTAACTGGCGGCTCTGGCCGTCTGCCCCTGTATACCACCTTCAGTCTACCTCGTGGTGTCAGAGGCCGCCCTTCATTGCATCAATCCCCTTCCTCTCCAGCTTTCGCCCTGCCTCTGCCCATGGCCCCGGCCCTCGCTCTTGAGGCTGATGGCTTGGACAATCTTGCCCATGACGTATCCAAAACACTTAATACTGGCTTCACCAGTGACTTCTGCAACCAACCATCGGATCGAGTACTCTCCCCCAGCCAGGCCGAGTATCATGCTGATCCTTCTTCATTCCATCAAGGGCCCTTCCCGTCTGCTGGGCTCTCCACCAGTCTAGTCAATTATTCAGGTGCCTTCTCTCAGCCAAACTCACCAGCAACTGCGAGAAGTCTTGTTCCCATGTCAGGTATGCTCTTTATATGCATATTTTCACTATAACTATGCTAAGTTAGAAGTTGTTTGACCTCGTTTTCGCAACTTGGTCATATTGGTAGGACGACTTAGAGGAACTCAACTTGTCCTGAGTCCATTGTATGCATAATCATTTTCAAAGTTTGTGGGTTGGCACACAAGAGACTAGAGCATTGGAAGTCATAGACTTGGTATTAGATATAGAAAAAGGATAGACGCGGCGGCGATGGGAGCTAGTTGGCTGACAGTAGTTTTTATAAGAGGTGTGCTCCATGTGGCAAAGGCGTGACCATGACACTGACTCAGAGGCCTGAGCCTCGAATTAGTCACCCAGACGCAGGGTAGGACCAATAACGCCTCGAGTGGCACAGATGGGATGGCAGGGGTTGAGTGAAATATGGGAACCAGGGCGAGGGCAGACGGATCTTCAGGGGCAAGAAAGAGACTGTGATAATACCTATGGAAGGAAGACTGCGTAACAATGTGGCAGACTCTGATCAACATTCCCGGCATAAGGATGAAGGGGGTGAGAAGGCCAGCGTGGAGTGCGGAGGGTCCTCATGAAAGCCGCCCAAAAGGACACACGGTACCAAATTTAATTAAGCAAGTAAAAAAATTGTGACTGTACCGTAACTGTTTAGCACACGTTTGGTCAAAGGATGGGCTTCATTTGTCTCTTTGACGAGTTGTAATATGGTGCTAAGAATGGCAAGACTCACTAATGATGCCGGCGAAACATCTGGGAATGTACCACGTCCACGTTGCGACTTTGGAAATGATCATGCATACAATGGACTCAGGACTAGGTGCGTTCCTCTAAGTCTTCCCACCAATATGACCGAGTTT